GTCTTAAACTCCAACAATGTCTACAGGAATCAAGAGCCAGGTCTCACCTGCCGAAAAGCTCAGTCACCAAGGGTATGGTGGGTGTGACCCTGTAATTTTTTTAAAGCTTTTATTTATTTTGGGAGAGAGAGACAGAGAACCAGTAGGGGAGGGGCAGAAAGGGGTGGGGAGGACAGACGATCCGAAGTGGGCTCTGAGCTGACAGCAGAGAATCCGACGCAAGGCTTGAACTCATGAACCACAAGATCATGATCTGAGCCAAGGTCGGATGCTTAACCTCCGGAGACACCCAGGCGCCCTATGACCCTGTAATTTATATCCCAAGACTCAGTTCTTTTGAGAGTGAAGCGGCACTATTGATCAGTGGCAGACAAGGTTATGTCATCTCCTGGGACATAACGGGAAGAGCCTGGGCTTGGGAATCAGGCAAACCTAGGTTCCAGTACCAGCTTACGCACTTGCTTGGGCAAATTACTTTCTGTCTCTGGGCCTCAGTTTCCCCACCAGTAAAGTTTCTATCTCATGAGATTATTTCGAGAAGCAAACATAAGATGAAAAAAAAGCTCCCAATCCAGGATCTGGCACTCTCTAAATACTACAAGCCTGTAATCTCTTATCTGCAAGTGTGAAATCCAACGAGCTCTGAAAACTGAAAGCTTTTTAAACTCATTTGGTGGCAAAACCTGACTATGACCAGTGCATAGCTATTTAGAATCTTTATCCCACTTCGTGTAATTTATCTTTATGTTTTGCTACAGAAATATTAATGTGTTTGATGACAGGCTGGGAGTGTGTTATTTTCCCAAAGTCCAAACTTCCTGTATTAAGTTGGAAGGATGAGGACTCTAGGATTCTAATTATAGTTTCAATGTCCTATACAGATTTAAATCTCTTGTCACCTATAGATATAGGAATATATATATATACATATATATATACATATATATATATACACATATATATATATATATGAATAATCTATTACATGAAAAATGCCATGTTTAGCTAAACAAAAAAGTAACCTGGGGCACCTGGGTGGCTCAGTTGGTTAAGCGTCCAACTCTTGGTTTTGGCTCAGGTCATGATCTCACAGCTCATGAGTTCGAGCCCCGCATAGGGCTCCACACTGACAGTGCAGAGCCTGCTTGGGATTCTCTCTCTCTTGCTCTCTCTCTGCCCCTCCCCTGCTCTCTCTCTCTCTCTCTCTCAAAATAAATAAACTTTTTAAAAGGCAAAAAAAAAAGGTAACACAAAATAATGTATATTCTATAGTCTTATTTGCTTTAAAAAGAAGTATAAGGTCACCTGGGTGGCTCAGTCAGTTGACCTTTGACTCAGGTCATGATCTCATGGTTTGTGAGTTCGAGCCCCATGTCGGGCTCTGTGCTGACAGCTCAGAGTTTGGAGCCTGCTTCAGATTCTGTGTCTCCCTTTCTCTCTGCCCCTCCCCTGCTCATGCTCTGTCCCTCAAAAATGAATAAACGTTTAAAAAATTTAAAAAAAGAAGTATATACACATAAGCTATGCATAGACCATTTCCAGAAGCATTCTTTTGGGTGGAAACAGTGGTTGTCTCTAGAAACAGAGACACAGAGGTTGGGAAAAGGAAAAAAGGTTGATGTTGAAATTTTTATTTCACACACAGAACACATTTTTTAAATATTAAATTATAAAGGTAAAAGATGCTTCATACCCATTAGGATGGCTGTTGTCAAAAAAAAAAAAAACAGAAAACAACAAGTGTTGGCAAGGATGTGGAGAAAAGGGAACCCTTGTGCTCTGTTGGTGGAATGTAAAATCACACAGCTATGGGAAACCAAATACCAGTTCCTCAAGAAATTAAAACCAGAGGTACCATATGATCCAGCGATTTCACTTCTGGGTATACACACAGAAGAATTGAAAGCAGGGTCTCAAACAGATATTTGTACCCCACGTTCATAGCAGCATTATTCACAGTAGCTGGAAGGTAGAAGGTAGAAGAGACCATCGATGGATGAATGGATAAACAAAAGTGGCCCCTATGTGCAGTGGAATATTCTTTAGCTTCAAAAAGGAAAGAACTTGTCACACAGGTCACAACGTGGGTGAACCTTGAGGACATTATGCTCAGTGAAACTAAGCCAGACACAAAGGACACAAACTGGATGAGTCCACTTAAATGAGGTTCCTGGGGTGGTGAAATTCACGGAGACAGAGAGTAGAGTGGGGGTTGCCCAGGACTGGGGGGTGGGGAGGGGAGGAGGAGGAGGGTTAATGTTTAATGGGTGCCAGCTTCAGCTTGAAAAGATGAAGAAGTTCTGGGGATGGATGGCAGAGGCAGCTCTACAACAATGTGACTGTGCTCAACACCAGTGAACTTTACACTCAAAACCCGCGAAGATGGTAACTTTTATGTGATGTATATTTTATTCCAATTAAAAAGAAAGTTAAAAGAGAAACTTCTCCTGTCACAAATCCCTTTGGATCTGCCTGGGCTGCTGGAGCTGAACCTTTCCAGGAGCTATGCAGGCGGCAGGCAGGGACCTCTGAATAATGCATGAGTCAAAGAGCGGTTGTCAAGGAGGGCCCCCTCTAGGGCTCTGCTGGCCCTGCTGACCGAGGAGTGCCCTGCAGGGAGGGCTGGTCGGGGGAGGGGGGGTGGCTGGAACAGGTGCTGGGCTCCAATCTAATGTCAACGCCGGCTGCCTGGAGCTGGGGCCTGGTTGGTGACAAGGGTCAGGCTTCTAGACATGCCCCGAGGAGTCATTACAAGATGCTCTGGACATGGAGGGGATTGGGGGTGGGCAAAGTGGGTGCAGTGGACTGAGAGATACAGGCATCCCGTTATGCAATGAATAAGTCATGGGGATAAAGAGCACAGCATAGGGAATATAGTCAATGGTACGGTTATCGCATTGTATGGTGACAGATGGGAGCTACCCTTGTGGAGAGCACAGCATAGCATATAAATTTATCAAATCACTATGTTGTACCTGAAACTAATGGAAGGTGTGTGTCAGCTATACTCAAAGAAAAAGGTGCTCTAGACAGAGCCATGGTGCCCCCCAGCAGCACCCAGACCTCCCAGAGAAGAGCTGAAGGGCCTCTGTTTCTCTTCAAAAGAGAAATCCCCAGGGTGCCTGGGTGGTTCAGTCAGTTAAGCATCTGTCTCTTGATTTCGGCTCAGGTCATGATCTCACAGTTCGTGAGATTGAGACCCACGTCAGGCTCCACGCTGTCAGTTCGAAGCCTGCTTGGGATTCTGTCTCTCCTCTCTCTGCCCCTACCCACCTCTCAAAGAAAATAAATAAAACTTTTTTAAAAAGAAAGAAAGATTCCCCAGACCATGGCTCCTCCTCAAAATCTAAAGAGGCAAATAGAAAGGAGAAATAAGAAGATCCCTCTTTAATACCTTGACACCAAGTTTCTTATAAAGGAAGGGACTTTCTGGCTGATTAGAATATCTGGTCCATTTCTGTGCGTCAGCTAGCAATTACAGCTTTATTTCTAGGTTTCTCCTGACCCGTAAAATGTGGCCGACTTTGGGCTCAGACCCCCAAGGGCCCCCTGCGTGAGGAAGCTCACCCACCCTGTCTGTACACAACACTGGAGGGTGAGGGGCAGGGCTGGGATCCAGCTTCACCTCTGCCCCAGGTTCCACAGGCAGGCCCACGGCTCCCCTGGGCCCTAGGGTCCTCATCTGTAAAGGGGACCAGGCACCTCTAGAAGTTCCATCCATTTATCAGTTAGGGAAACAGTGCCTAGCCAGGAAACAGAGGAAATGTAATGTTGGGGAACTGGTTATAGATGCTGGAAGAGCCAAAAAGCCAATCCCAGGCAGAAGTAACAGGATCCCAGCACCCTAGGTTTGGAGAGGGACTGTTGTTAGCACCTGAACTCTGGGCCATTTGGTGTAGCTGGAACCCTGGGCAGCTCAGAGTGAGACAGAGGGAAACATCTCAGCCTTTCCCTTCCTCCGGCCCTCTGATTTATCCTTGTTCACTGAACCCCCTTGGGCTGAACCCAGCTGGAAACCAGGCAGCAAGGGAGCCTGGGAGATGTAGTTTGCAAGACGGACTGTTGCAATCCAAAGTAGGGCAAGGGAATCCAGGCAAAAGACCGGCAATCCAGCCATGGATGTTGCAACCATCCCAGACTTAGAGTGGATTTTTTCACTTTTTTTTTTTTTTTTTTTTTTTGTCCTGTCCTGCCATTTCTGCTTTAGGTGCCTTATATGTAAAGGAATTGAGTTAAAGTTGGACACAATGGAAACACTTTAATTTAAGCTGTAAAGCTCACACTTTCCAGGCCACCCCATCACTTCTGAACCCCAAAAGTGGATTCCCCTTGCCAGACTGAGCATCCCCTGACGAACAGCCCTGCCCCAAGCTTTCTCTTGGCAAGGAGCAAGCTGTGCTGGGTAGGTGTAAGATGTGGACCAGATGCAAACAGAGCTGGATTTCACCCAGCCATGGGGTGGAGGAGGCAGTGTAACAGGTTTCCATTCCACCTGGGGAAGCAGGAGCATTATTTCCTCCACCAGGGCTGGGTTTCCAGGTACAGAGAGCAGAGGTCACTGTGGTCTAATGAGCTGAGCATAGGTTAGGAACTCAATTGCTCTTTGTTTCGATTCAGCTGAGGCACCCAACCTTGCGTGACCTTGTGCCAAACACAATTCTTCCACTACAACCTGCCCTACAAGACCAGGAAGACATGATGAGGAACGCCAGGAGAAGCACGCTGAAAGGTAACCATTGTGCACATAAATGTACAATGACGGCAATGCCCAGCATTCACACCATGGTCTTCCTGAGTCATGATCTTATATCCAACCTAGTCATACAGACCATCCTCTTGTGAAGGAAGGGGAGGGACTTTTATCTGCACTTTACAGAGAGAGAAACCCAGGCACTGAAAGTATACAGCGACCAGCACAGTGGGTCAAGCTGGCATCGGATTCAAGGCCTCAGGAGTGTCAGCCTTGACCTGCTTCAACTGAGCCGCAGAGGACCACTTACCTCCTAAGCCCAAGGGCCCCGGTGCCATTCAGGAACATCTGTAGGTGACGTGCTTTTGTCATTAGGCCTAGAAAGGAGAGGAGAAACAAATGAAAGGAAAACAAGGGAGGCAAGGAAAAAGGAACAGAGAGAAAGCAGAGATAAGGAAAGGAGCTATGCTATGATAGAAAAGGTAGATAAGAACACGCAGCTTAGGAAATCACTCTGCCCTGACTCTTTACTACAGCTTGTGAGGGTCTTACCAGCCCTGAAGACTTCGACGCCTTCCAGCATCACTCGCTGGGACTGGAAATTCACCAGGGTTGCTTGAATAAGAAGCCAGTCCCCCTCGCACTAATCTGGGGTGGCTTCCATTATCAGCTGGCCTTTTCCTCCCTGCAGGGCCCAGTTGACGACACTCGAAGTCCTGTTCCCTTTTCTGTAAGGTGCTATTGTGTAAGGTGGGAGAACAGATACTCATGTGGGTGTTGCTGAAGCTCAAACATGTTTATCTGCACCTGGACGGTGGAATGCTTTCACACAGATGGAGTGGCACCCGCCACCTTCCTTGAGGATTGCCAGGGTCCTCTTCGTCCCACCCACATATTTGGGCTCCTGTCAAAGACAAGCTCTTACAGAAGCTGGGCAGGTGTAATTGACCAGGCACGTCAAGCACTGGAGAAGGTGTAACTGAAGCCTAGCTTGTGCACAGGCCTGATACTCCCCTCCCTCTGACAGTCACGCTCCCAGGCACACAAAAGCAGGGGATTCTGGCCGAGTCTTTGGCTAAAATGAGAGAGGTCCTTTCTACTTTAGACAGCCCGACACAGGCCACCAAATCCAGAAATACACAAAATTCCACTTTTGCTCACTTTTCAACCCAAGGGCTTTTCCAGAAATTAGAGCCTTATAACAGAAAAGCTTCCTGGACTGCAGGCAGGGGCTGCATCAGGCATCCAGGCTAGAATTCCGACAGCACCCTGCAAACTAGCAAAACTCCCGACTCGATATGCCCACCTTGCTCTTTGCCATCACGAAAATCTACTTAAGCTGCTCCATGTTGCAACCGCAGTGCTTTTTGCCGGGTGTGTAGGGAAAATGACATTTATTCTTTGGTTACTGCTGTCTGCCTCAGCCCCCAGAGTCGGTAAACAAACAAGCTGTCCTTGGAGCAAACGCCTCCCTCTCGGCATCTCCCCGCTGCTGAGCCACACAGCTCAACAATGAGGCCGACAGCCCTCCATCAGGCTGTGTGCAGAGCGGACATTCTTGGCCTCTGAGTCTTGCCATCAAGTTATTGATGGGAACAGGTGCCCATAATTCAGCATAACCCACCGAGCCTTACTTCACTTTCTCTGGAAACCTCTTGATTTAGGAGTGAAAACTCCTGGCTCCTTTCGTGCTGGCCTGTAAACATCTCCGTCTGGATTTGCCGAGGTGGGTTGCTAAATTTAATTACCAGTTTCCATCCCATGTGATGGTGTGTGACAGGCCAGCTCACCCTGTGAGTTAGCCAAGGGGTTTTAAATAAATGCTTTCTGACGGAAAGGATGATAAAGATCCCTGTTTATTCACCAGCGAGCCTGGAGAGTGAGCTGCTCTGGGTTTTACTACTGAGCTGCGGCCGTGCTAATCTTCTGAGCTCCATCACCACTTCCCGCAGGCTGCTGAGAGAGGCGCAAGGGGCGGGTGGGAAGAGCTTCCAGCCAGGTCAGGAGGGCTTCGCCAGCCCAGGCTGTCCCAGGTCTCTCTGACCTTGGAACACAAATAGCTCTGGGGGCCAGCCTCAGCTTCTCCATCTGGAAAGAGGAACTGTTCACAAAAAGTCAGGAGTGGCAGCGAATGTTTTGGAGCTTTCAGGAGGCAAAACTACAGATACACAAATACGGCACTGTTCCTCAATGCGTCCCCAGAACCCCAGAGAGCAAGCTCTTCAAAGAGAGTGGCATTAGTCTCGCCCATGGCCTTGAAATAAAAATGAAATAAAACGCTGACAAGATTTGCATTATTTCCTTAGGAAACACTCTCGTCATTGAATGCACACTCAATCTGCCTTCTGAAGTGACTCCATGTGGTCTGAGCCACAGCACCAGGGGCTCACCAGGATCACCAGGGGCTCACCAGGGGCTCACCAGCCACAGCACCAGGATCTTGTGAGAAGTGCAGGGTCTCGGGGCTCCATTCCATCCCTGCTAAGTCAGAATGTGCTGCATAACCAGATCCCCAGGCCATGCAGATGTATTTTCAATTTTGAGAAGCACTGGTGGAAAGCAGTGGTTGTCAAACTTTAGCACACATTCGAATTCCCTGGAAAGCTTGTCAAAACACGGCTGGCCCCACCTGCAGTTTCACATTTGGTAGGTCTGGAACGAGCTTGGATAATTTGCATGCCTACCAGGTTCCCTCGCGATGATAATGCTGCTCGCCTGAGAACCACACTTTGAGAACCAGTGGTAGGTATTCCTTGGATGTCGTCACTGAGGGTCTGTAATATTATTTTTTTTAACGTTTATTCATTTTTGAGAGACAGAGTGTGAGTCAGGAAGGAGCGGAGAGAGAGGGAGACACAGACTCCGAAGCAAGCTCCAGGCTCTGAGCTGTCAGCACAGAGCCCAACATGGGGCTTTAACCCACGAATTATGAGATCATGACCTAAGCTGAAGTCAGACACTTAACCGACTGAGCCACCCAGGAGCCCCTGAGGGTCTGTTATATCCTAAGATCTCTTCTTTGTCTACTGGAATGACTGTATTCTGCTCTTACCGTGTCTTAATTTCTAGCTCTTTCTTTAATCATCTTTGAACTCTTGAATTCAGTCCGTTTCTCTCTCTCCCTTTTACTAGGAAGCTCAGCACTAGACACGGAAAACCAGAGAGTGTGTGCTGTGCCAAAATGGGAGGAGTTCATGAAAATCTTCCTTCTTCCTCCTCCATGGCGGTTCTAAAATTTTTTTTTTTTTTTTTTTTTTTTTTGAGAGAGACGGAGCACGAGGGAGTGAAGGGCAGAGAGAGAGAAAGGAAGAAAATCCCAAGCAGGCTCCACACTCAGTGCAGAGCCCACCATGGGGCTCGAACTCAAAAACCATGAGATCTTGACCTGAGCCAAAACCAACAGTCGGACACTTAACCGACAGAGCCAGTTTTTTCCTCCACTTGTTTTTTCAACTACAGTTGTACTGCTAGTTAAGGAGCTGATTATGACAAGACTAGCACAGGATAACCAAGTTTATTTACTACAGTACCATTTGTATTACTAGATTTTAATCACACAAGCAATACAGTGACACATTTAATTAAAACAATCAACCCTGAGGAATAATGAATTAAAAGCAAAAGTCGACATTTATGTCCCCACCTTTCCATGCAGAGGAATATTGGTAGTTATGTGTGTATTTTTCTGTGCTTTTATATGTTCATATATACATAAAAATAGATGATAGGTAGACAGATAGATAGATAGACATGCAGATATTTATCCGTATATATTAACATGATCATACCTTAAGTGTTATTCTGCAACTTTATTTTATTAATTGAAAGTACTTCTTAGGGATCCTTTCAAAACAATAAGTAGACTCCACTTCATTTTAAAACTGCAAGCCCATATTCCATAATATAGATATATCATATTTAGCCATTCTATAGTAAGGTAGCATTGTCCTGAGAATAAACTGAGACGTGGCCTCCCAAAAGGTGGTATCAGTTTCCATGACCCCCAGCCACCTTGAAAGTGTTGATTTCTGGGTGCTAGGCAGGTGTCCTGGTACAGGATCACTTACTTACCTTCTATAAGCCTCAATTTCCTCATTTGTAAAAAAATTACAATACCTACTTATGGTTAAAGATCAACAATCAGGGGCACCTGGGTGGCTCAGCCCAGTTAAGCTTCCGACTTCAGCTCAGGTCATGATCTCACAGTTTATGGGTTTGAGCCCTGCAATGGGCTCCATGCTGACAGCTCGGAGCTTGCTTTGGATTCTGTGTCTCCCCTCTGTCTGCCCCTCCCCTACTCACGCTCTGCCTCTCAAAAAATAAATAAACATTTAAAGTAATAATAATAAAAACATCAACAATCATGTATAAAAAAAACCTTATAATATCTAAAAGCCTAAAGGATTATAAAGTAATAATCATAATAACCATAAATCATAACATCATACAGGCCATGTTACCATTGGTGGCTTTCCTGCAGGGAACTCATCCCATCCATGGTGTGAGTGTCTCATTAGCTTTTAGCTTTCGATTTCAATCAGCATTTTCTTTCTCTTGCTCTACATCCTAGTTTCCATCTTATTTTTGAGACCATAGCTGCCTCTGTAATGCTAAATGCTGAGAGATTTCTTTGGCCCTGCAAAAGTGGATAGTTTTAGGAGAAATTGCAGGCAGAGAACTGTCATCAATGGGAGTGTGGCGGTGGGAAGAACCCGGTGCGGTGAGCAGTTTCACACGGGCACATCCGGGGCCCTTCACTGTGAGTAGGACGTTTTGTCGTGAAGAAAGCAATGAGACATGGTTAGCAGACAAAGGGACACACAGGCCGCACAACCCCGTGGGCAGCAGAGCTCTGGGCTAGGAAGTGAAGACGGTTACATCTAGCACCACAGATGGGAGCTTGCCCTCACATCCCAGATGAGGGCACTTCCTGGAAAGACGGGTCACCTCGCTGCCACGGCACTTGGGAGTTCCTACTTTGATCCGGAAGTAGAACCAAGAAGCTCTGAAGTGTATCAGAAGAGAGAAGTGACCCAGATTCTTTTAAAATCAAAGGATTTTAACTCAAAGAAAGGTAAAGGGCCATGCCTTTGGGTTTTCCCAAGTTAGTTCATTCATTTTCAGTGCCGAAAACCAACACCAGTCTTACGCGGCAATCCACTTACTGAAGTTGGAAACTGAGGTGTGAAAAGTTCTGTGTTGACAAAGTTTTGCATCAGCTCCTGCCACTAAACAACATGTAAAAACGTGTAGTTTAATTTTAACTTTATAATAAATAAGTGCTTTCCTAAACCCACTCAGGAGCACAGGCTGTCACTAGGTCTACAGGTGTGCTCTGAAATCAGATACCACCAAGACATTCCATCAAGCTAAGATG